ACTGCTTCAGGGACTCCATCCAGCCACCCTCCTTCTCTGCCATCCCCTTCTTCTTCTTTGGTCCTCCATCGTTCCCAGCATTCGGCTCTTCTCCAGCGAGTCCTTCCTTCTCATGTGTTGGCCAAAGTCTTTGAGATTCCTCTTCAGGACCTGGCCTTCTAAAGAGCAGCCAGGGTGGACCTCCTCTAGGACTGACCGGTAGGATGGCCTTGCAGTCCAAGGACTCTTCTCCAACCCCAGAGTTCAAAGGCCTCCATTCTTTGGCGCTCAGCCTTCCTTATGGTCCAACTTTCCCAGCCACGCATTGCAACCGGGAAAGCCTTGGCTCTACGCCCTTTTGTTGACAGCGGGATGCCTCTGCTTTTTGGTACGCTGTCTAGATTTGCCATTTCCCCTCCTCTCTTACTCTGACTCTACTCAAGCCATAACCTTGCTCGATCGTCCTGCCTAGAAGGAAAGGGGCCCAACTTGGTTGCAACTGGGCCCTTTCCGTCACAAAACAGGTCTAGTTGTTTTCCCTAAGAGGTTCTATTACTCCCAGAAGAGTTTTTTTCTTTCTCTTTTTCTGTCTGTACATGCTAGACGTAGATGCTCTCCAGGAACTTGGCTGCAGTAGTAGAAATGCATTTCCTGACTCCTTGAGGTAACGGGGCAGGACTTGGCTGGGTATCGGAGCAAAATTGGCGCGCCGCCACCCGATGTGCAGAAGAGAGAGAACTGGCTCCTTTCCCTGGCTTTGCATCACGGATGGGGCCACCTTTTCTTTGTCCTGCAGCTTCCTACAGCCCCCACTTCCCCCAGGGTTGCTTGCGGGAGAAAGGTAATTCTCAGGTTTCCTGTTCCCAGGTGTTCCTCTGCCTGTCTGGGGGATGTGACAGGATGTGACAACCTGCCTCCTTAACTATCGGAGCCTGTTGCTGCTGGCAGTTGGTTCCTCTGCGACTATCCCCTCAACCTCTTCAAGGGTTAGTTTGACAGCCCTGGTAGGACAGGGATCCTGGCTTGGTTAACTCCCTTCGGTGCTAAACTTTGAACAGAGATGGTGAAATGGACCATTTTATTAATAGATTTATCCTAGTTTTGTTTCCGCTTCTACACTCTTTGCCCGGACCTCTAGGTGTGGGCGAGAGAAAAATGAAACTTTGATTTTAGGTTTGGAGGTTTCGAATGATTTTAAAATTAGAATAGAATAGAATAACAGGGTTGGAAGGGACCTTGGAGGTCTTCTAGTCCAACCCCCTGCCTAGGCAGGAAACCCTACACCGCTGCAGACAAATGGTTATCCAACATCTTTTTAAAAACTTCCAGTGTTGGAGCATTTACAACTTCCGGAGGCAAGTTGTTCCCCCGATTAATTGTTCGCACTGACAGGAACTGTCATCTCTGTCTGACCTGCCGCTGACTCACTGACAGTCCCAATGTTGCAGAACATACAGCCTCATGCTCCATAACTAAGCTCCGTTTATTGCTGAATAAACTAAATTATTCACGTCTCTTAAACAGAAAACTTACCTTTAGATTTTTTTTTTTTACTCCAAAAGCAGTTTATTAAAATAAATTTGATAAAAATAAAAAAAAATCCCGATCCAAAAGGTTGGCGACCCCTGTTCTAGTCCAACCTCCTGCGTAGGTAGGAAACCCTACCCCACTTCAGACAAATGGTTGTCCAATCTCTTCTTAAAACCTTAAAAACTTCCAGGGTTTACAACTTCCGGAGTCAAGTTGTTCCGCTGATTCATTGTTCTCCCTATTAGGAATTTTTGTCCTTAAGTTCTAGGTTGCTTCTCTCCTGGATTAGTTTCCATCCATTTTGTCCATCTTGAAACCTACAGGCTAAGGTTGAGATTGTATTATTTTTGTTATTGATTTTAACCCCCCCAAAATTGGAAGTCGTTACTTTTTTTCTTCTTCTTCTCTCTTTGGCACTTTTTTCTTTCTTCTTCTTCTTCTTTTTTTTTTTTGAGAGAGAGATTTTTCTGTCCCTTCTTCCTTCTCTAGAAGGGAGCGCGGTGGCTGAGGGGCTAAAGACGCTGAGCTTGTTGATCAGAAAGGTCAGCAGTTCGGCGGTTCGAACCCCCAGCGCCGCGTCACGGAGTGAGCTCCCGTTCCTTGTCCCAGCAGCTTCTGCCAACCTAGCGGTTCGAAAGCACGTAAACAATGCAAGTAGAAAAATAGGGACCCCTTTGGTGGGAAGGCCACAGCGTTCCTCCGTGCGCCTTCGAAGGCGTTTAGTCCTGCCGGCCACTTGACCCACGGAGACGTCTTCGGACAGCGCTGGCTCTTCTTCGGCTTTGTCATGGAGATGAGCAGCGCCCCCTAGAGCCGGAAACGACTAGCACGGATGTGCAAGGAGGGGAACCTTTTACCTTTAGCTTCTCTACTCCTGAGCGGTGGTATATATTCACCCAATGATGGTGAATAAAGTCGTCACAGCATTTCTCGCCAGTCTTTACAATCTGCCCATCCTTTGTGTCCCTTCCAGGTAACACCGGTGTGTCTCCGTCACAAACCGGGCACGCCAGATGGGTCTCTCTAAGAGTTGATGGGTCTCCGGTCGGGGAAGCGGCTTTCCTGAGCTAAGGTAGGTCTTCTGACAAGGCTCCTCCGCCCGACCAAGGCCTCTTTCCCTGCCTTCCTGTATCCTCCTCACCCCCCCCCCCCCTTTCGTTGAACTGTGGGCGCCTAGCTAATTTTAAAAAAGGCTTTCTAACAATTTTCCACGTGGGTGACGAGAGGAAAATAATGATTAGCCTGTTGGCTCTTGGTAATTAGAACAACAAAGTCTCTGTCGCCCTCGCACCGTGTGGCGGTTGCAAACTTCCAGCTTCCCCAGGAGCGAGGCAGGAAAAGGGGTGCTGATTGGGGGCCGAACAAACTGACACAGCTCTTGCCCTGCCAGGGATCCCAGCCTGGCGCCGGAGCATGTCTTGGCGAGGAGGTGGCATAGACAGTGTGTCGGAGGGACCCAAATGGAGACGTTTCTCCTCTTTTTAAAGTTCTGGATTGGAAGGGCGAGCTTAAGGCTCCTAGGCGCCAACAGTGCTAAGCCCTTCGATCCATTAGAATAGAACTGGAAGGGACCTCGGAGGTCTTCTAGTCCAACCCCCTGCTCAAGCAGGAGACCCTGGACCATTTCAGACAAGGGGCAAGTCCCGTCTCTTCTTGGAAACCTCCAGTGACGGAGCGACCACTGTCACGCCTGAATTTGGTTAGTATTAGTAGTAGAATTCTTTTGTTGACCAAGTGTGATTGGACACACAAGGAATTTGTCTTGGTTCAAATGGTCTCAGTGGACATAAAAGAAAAGATAACATCCGTCAAGAGTCAAGAATCATAAGGTCCAACACTCTTCTCGTGAAATACCTCTGGAGTCGCTCAATCGTATTAATGTCCGTTATATAGTGTGGATTCCAGGCAGATAAGCTGTATTCAAGCATTGGTCTGGCAAAGGTTTTGTATGCCCTGGTTTGCAGTTCAATGTTAGCAGAGAAGGAGCTTCGCAAAATTAGCTTAACAACTCTTAATGCTTTTTTGGCAATGCTGTTATAGTGAGCTCTACGGCTTAGATCTTTTGAAATGAGGACTCCTAAGTTTTGCATTGATGTATGTTCAATCAAGGGGAGAATTGTGAGCTGGTGATTATTGGGTTTTTTTTTTTTTATGGGATGGATCTACTCCAAGAGTAAATTTACTGGAGCTGAAGCCCAGTAAAACAGGGCAAATCATAAACCTCTTGCAGTGCCTTCTCCTTTCCCCTTGCTGTAAAAACCTCAAGAGCTCACTCGAAGGCCTTCCATAGGATTAGATTAGTCTATATCCTGGAGTGGTTTTCCTTGTCTGAAGAACGGTCCTGGGTCTAAATTATATTGACCCAAGCTGGAGGAATGTCTGAGCTTGGCGTGGAAGGAGAGAGCCAGCTTAAGGGCAGATCGTATATCATCACGCAGGCAGAATAAAAGGAATGGCGTTTTTGTAATTGTATCTTTCCGGCCAGCTGCTTTTCTTGGGTACTCCTAAATATTAAAAAGTTGGCAACTGTAGTATGTATGGAGATTTTGCTGTTGGCCACTTGGAAGTGCAAAGAAAGCTGTGAGGTTCAGGTGTCTTTGGAGGAGGGGAAAACCCACCTCTTTTCCAAAAAAAAAAAAAAAAAGGAACTTGCAAGGTTTAACACAGTTTGGGGATTGTGTCTGGTGGAAGTTCTCCGTCACGTAATTTCTATTGCTTATTCCAGAGGTGCTTTTTTCCCCCTCCAGAAGGCAACTAATTTTTCTTGCAGTAAAAAACAAGCACTGTTTAAAAATGAAGGGAAGAAAGCCCCGAAAGCAACCGAGGCCCATCTTTGGCAAGTATCAAGTAATTCATCTGTACATCAATTAACCCACCGCAAAAGACCAAAAAAAAAATAAAAAATGTTGCACAATACTGCACATTTGAAGGGATCTGCAGCTGGTCTATTTGGCAAGACAAAAGAAGAAAAACCACACACACACACACACACACACACACACACACACACACCCCTCCTCTGCTCTTTGTTATTTTCAAAACCTTCCCAGAGGCACGATCAAATTCACACCTTCAGACACTGGCCTTTCCAAAGGAAGCACGGATGTTATTTGTTCAGAGAAGTGTAAATCTGAGGCCACTTAAATGGCCTTCCTGAAAATCTGGGCTGGCAGCTGAATCCAAAGATCTTTGCAGACAAAGCAGCCGAAGAACAGAAGACCAAAGTCAGAAGGGACCTCGGAGGTCTTCTAGTCCAACCCCCTGTTCAAGCTATACCACCCTGGACAAAATGGCCCGTCCAGTCTCTTCTTAAAAACTTCCAGTGTTGGAGCACCCACAATTTCAAGAGACAAGCAATTCCACTGCTTAATTATCCTCCCTGTCGGGGAATTCCTCCTTCGTTCTAGGTTGCTTCTCTCCTTGATTAGTTTCCATCCGTTGCTTCTTGTCCTGCCTCTCAGGGGCTTTGAAGAATAGCTTGACTCCCTCTTCTTTGGGGACAGCCCCCTCAAATATTGGAAGACTGCTATCAAGTCACCCCTAGTCCTGGGTAATCCAGCCAGTGGTTTTTAGTTTTGCCAGTCCCCTCGGTTGCAGAGTGGGGGTTTCCAGGCAGCTTCTGCTGCAGATTGACCAAAACAAGCCCACCCCCAACTTTTCTGCCTCCCCTGTTATATTTCAAGGTAGAATCGCGTCAAAGAGGTGGCTATTTGGGGGTAAGCACCGCCTGCGTGTGCGCCTGGCCAAACTACTTTGTATATTTGGAGCCTAGGATTAGAATCGCTTTCTGATCCTCCCACTACACACAAACAAATCAGAAAGGCCAGGGGGCAAAAAAAAAAAAAAAAAAAAACCAGTGGAAAATAAATAGAATTAAAATATTTCCTCCCCCCCCTTCATCTCAAGGTAGGCCTATCAGCTGTTTCTAAGAGTTGGCCTAAAGCTCGCATTGTCCTTGCCATCTTAATTGGCTTCTGCTCTTTCCGCCCATCGTTGTGCTGCTTTTGAAAGGCTAAAAATAACAAGGATTTTATTTTGCTCCTTCTTCCCCGCGCGCCCCAAGCCTTGGCTCTCTCTAATTTCTCTCCCCTTCTGTGTCTCCATCCCAACCCTTCTGGGATGGCTGCCTGGCAGATTTTCCCCTTTCTCTTCTTGGCGTCGTGCATCCTCTCGGGAAGTCCCTTCTGGGCTGGGATTTTCAGAAGCTCCCGTGGGGCCACCAGCAAAGCTCCCAGGCAGGTTGATGGCTTGCTTTCCTTTCACCTGGGAGAGTATTTTGGTGTGACAGCCTTCGCTGTCCTCGTTTGCCTCACATGCCAGGCAACAGAGACCGGTGTGTGTTTTCACCTGTCGCAACTTTTAAGATGGGTGGACTTCCAACTCCCAGAATTCCCCAGGCAGCATACCCCAAATGAAGGAAACCACCAAGCTCGGAGGGGACCAAGGACCCCAAGGTCCTCCTCTCCCTCTCCCTCCTCCTTTTCCTCCAATCCACACACCCCACTCCCTTCTCGCATTGATTGACATTACCTAGTTGGGCAATGAAACGTCTGCAATAAAACTACCAAGCTCAGAGAACACCAAGGATCCCAGTCCTC